CTTCCCCCCCTCTCTCTCGCACCCCCTTTCCCCCCCTCCCTCTCTCGCCCACCCCTTCCCCCCCGCTCCCTCTCGCACCCCCTTTCCCCCTCTCTCTCTCGCACCCCCTTTCCCCTCTCTCTCTCTCCCCTCTTTCTATACCATTCCTTGTTAATCTTTATTGTATGGATGCACAAAAGTACAACAAATTGAAGATGGTAAAGGATTGAAACGTTGCAGTTGCCAGTATGATAAATAAACTGCAGGCACGAACAGTCCACCTGGTTCTCCTGAGTTTCAGCTCTTATCTTGCTGTGCATACCGAGGTGAAGACAATGTTTTCCAGGGGGGTGGGGTGGGGGCGGCAGATATCATCATCATCCCTCCCTTCAGGCACACATCTAGTCACATCAACTCAGATTCTTGAGTGACTAAGTGTCTGGCATGTGCGTTCATACTGGAAGGCATTACCCAACTCCCTTTCAGCCATTACCCTCTTACAGATTAATATTCTCCCAGGTCCCATGTTTTTGAAAATGATTTTTAGTATATTTAATGTTATTCTTGCTACTACTATTGCCATTACCATATGAGGAATACTGGCAATGAAGAATGGTTAGTAAATATTTTTTTTTTATTCCAGGACAAGATGTCGGCCACAACGTTAAGTTACCGGACGCGGGGATGGCTGCGACTCTCGATAGAAAAGCAGGACACGCTCCTGAAGATGGCGGTCCTGTCCCTGGCGGCAATCTTGTGTGAGTAGTGTTGTCGGCTCAGAAAGGAAATCGAGGGAACTGAATAAAGGTTTTTGGGAGGCTTTCTCATAGTGCATGTAGGGTTTGCCTTGGTGAGGAATTAAGATATTTTCAAATTGGGATCAGTTGATACTTTGACTGGAATGCTATTTGCTTGTGGGATGTGTGCATGGATACAGAATGGACATATTTTAAAGATATTTCAGAGACATATTAATATTTTAAGCAAGTATAGCCTTTCCAAACTATTTATCCCCAGTATGATTTTTTAAGAGAAAATTTGTTTGATAGAAAATTCATTTTAAAGTAGAAATGTGTAGACTGTTTAAAACCATTTAATTTTTGACAGGGATGTATTCTGTGCACTTCCTAATTTTGCATTTGTGCTAAGTAGATAGTATCCACTTTTTTCATCATTCAAGTTCAAAATATTCTCTATTCCCTGCAACTAACTTGGGAATTACCACTTTTGGTATATATTTACATTGACTCTACTAAGATAGGGAAACACTATTGACATGGTCATGTAGAGAGAAAGACCATTCACCGATGTATGAAGTAATCTTGCGAAGACAAAGAATGTCAAGAAATTAGGGAAGTATTTTGCGGTGAGATTGCTGAGAGACTGGGGGCAAAAGCCCTGGCTAGGGAAATTTGATTTTTTGCAGGTTCTCTTTCATGTCTAAGTGTTATTCTATATGGCCATTACCTTTGTTTTGATATTTACAGTTGTTCTTGAATTACCAGCAGGTTAGATATGTCTTTCAACTGCATGATTAGTTGATAAGTCATGGTCAATTGTCATTTGGTAAGGAATGGTTAGTTTGAGTGAATGATTGTTGAAATTACAAATCTTGCCTTTTTGTTTTACAATGACATACTTAAAATCACATATGTAACGATGGCATCTCTTTCTGCAGCATTTTCCTGTAGGCTCTTCTCAGTGCTGCGGTTTGAGTCCGTCATCCACGAGTTTGATCCTTACTTCAACTACCGCACTACAAAGTTCCTGGCCGAGGAGGGCTTCTACAACTTCCACAACTGGTTCGATGACCGTGCCTGGTATCCCCTGGGAAGGATTATTGGAGGTAAAAATAATGATGTGATTATTGGTGTAGAAGATTATCATAGTTTAATTTCTTCTTCACTCTTTCTCCTCTCTTCTCTCTCTGATTTTAAAACAAGTATAGAATTAATGTAACAACTTGATAGTAAAATTATATTTTGGGATATACACATACTTGCTATAAGGTAACATAACACTTTGTCCAGCTTTCTTGGCCTGTATGAAGTGCTCAGGATGTGCAGGCTGTTGTTATTGCTAGGCACCACTTGGCAGCGCAGATATTTACTAAACCTATAACTGTGAATAGATTGCAACAGAAACAAAGGTCAGATTCTTACAAAGCACAAGAAAAAATATTGGACAGAAATCCTGTCATTTTTTATTTGTTTTTTGTATATATTGCATTTTTTGCATTGTATATATTCCCAAAACTGCAGTTTTACCAAAGGTATTTCATATTAACCCAATGCTGCCAGAAAATTTGTAATGGTCACTGTAGTAGTTTTCTGTGAAATATGTCTACACAAATAGTTCCGCAAGTACTCAGCCACCAGTGTCAATTCGTACTCAATGCACCTTTAACCGATTTTCCCTTCTTTGAAAATTTTTGTGAAAGTTTTTTTCATAATTATATTTAATTGACAGTAATAGCGGTATAAATTATATCCAAAAAGGAAGAAAAAGTCAACATGTGAGATAGGTCAGACCAGTGATTGCCTATATGGTGACAAAGCACTTGTTAAGGTGTCTACATGTTAATACAATCAATAAACTAAACACTGTTAGCATGGCATGTCTGTATGTGCCATCCCAAGCAACATTCAGTTGATGATTTATCAACTGGATGAATGATTCATACTTAGTAAGATAAACAAGAGAGAATAATTAGATAAACAAGAGAGAATAATTGCAGCTTAAATGAAAAGAACTTTGACTTGTTGAATAATGTACTTATCATTGCCCTTCCACCTTAAACCACATTTCAACACATAACCAAGTATATTTCCTACTTTTCCAGGCACCATCTATCCAGGCCTCATGGTGACCTCAGCCGCCATTTATCATGTACTTAATTGGCTGAACATCACCATAGACGTACGCAATGTGTGCGTGTTCCTTGCACCATTGTTTTCCTCCCTCACTACCCTCGTGACCTACCACCTTGCCAAGGAGCTGAAGGTAATACATTCGAGTGTTGGTATGGAAGAAAATTATTAGTTGCTAGCCTGTAAACTTACTCATAGATTGTAAATGAAAGTTGATTTTTTAAGGGGAAGTTATCATTTGTATTTTTCCTTAAAAAGTGTGAAATATCTATATCCACATTCATTTAAGCAAGGTTTATGATAGCTGAATGCATATTAATATTAGGTTGATATATAGGTAGATAGGTCCTTAGCATTCAAAAGTGACCTTGCTACACCCTTTCAAACTTCAATGATTTGTAAATGCAGTGTATATACCATTACTATGGCAGTCCCATCCCTAAGACCATTTTATATGGCTGGATTATAAAGGAGTCCACAAATACATCAACACTTTTCAAATTAAGTATAGTATTTTGAGAGAGATTCATACTAATGTTTGGATAGGATGTAGAATTATACCCCTTTCTGTGTTCATTGTATCTGTTATGAAGACCAAAAGGAACTACTCGAGGGTGAAGTCACTCTCTGGGACCCATTGTTAAATTTTGCACTCAAAGTAGAAAGTTCAGCAAAACAATAAAGTGACTTCAGCAAGGACAGAGTGGCACAAAAATTTCTGCTCATACAAAAGGGTGACTGGGATGAGGATGCCCATGGTCAATTCTCAACTATATATTTTTTCCTAAACCCATTTGTTTGATGTTTTATGTTTCGTATTAGAATTTTTTTATGCTTTATAGTGTTCGTTCTTCAGTTATTTCTAGCTATAATATTTTTGTAACTATCACCTCTTGCTTTAGTGTTATTTTAATAGATTTTAACGTATAGTTAGTCCAGGCTAGCAGAGAATAAATTTTTTTAAATGTTAAGGGCCAAATGTGGGTATTCGTATCTACTTGCGTCATTAAGAGTATAATAAGCTATTAATTTGGATTGCTATTATTGCTTCATGTATTGTCATCTTGTCTTTTTTTATATTGTCACTGATACAGTTTTAATGTTTTATTTTATGTTTGTGTTATTTTATATTTGTCACTAATACATTTTTGATTAACAGGGTCCAGGGGCTGGTCTTGTAGCAGCCGTTATGATTGCCATTGTTCCAGGATACATTTCCCGTTCTGTTGCCGGGTCTTATGATAATGAAGGTAAGATTGAATGAAAGTGAAAGGGGAGGGTGAATCTTTCATCTGAAAGGTTAAATTCTTTTTGAGATGGAAAATATTAGATACATTTATATAAAGGTTATGTGTTGTCCTATCTCTGTAATCAAGAGTATATTCGTCTACATATATATTTTTTTCATAACAGGTATTGCCATCTTCTGTATGCTGTTGACATACTACATGTGGATTAAGGCTGTGAAGACTGGAACGCTTTTCTGGTCGACAATGGCTTCCCTTGCCTATTTTTACATGGTCAGTTTTTCTTAGATGCAAAAAGAAATTATCTTATTGTTTCTCTCCATCATCTCTCCCTTTTTCACTCCAGATTATGATGTACTGCATTTTTTTTGTTTTTTCTGTGTTCAGTTGATCATTCATTTAAGGTATTTCAAAAATCAGGGTTATGTATATTGAAGTTGATATCTTAGTCCATGTAGTTGTACTTGTTAAGTTTTTTTCCTGCTCTTCTTGAGTTTCATATAAGCTGAATTTTACTAAGAGAAGAATAAAAACGCTGTAATATTTTTCCCTCCCAGGTCTCCTCATGGGGTGGCTACGTGTTCCTGATCAACATCATCCCTCTCCATGTCCTTACTCTGATGGTGACTGGGCGGTTCTCCCATAGGGTGTATGTCGCCTATTCCACACTGTATGTCATTGGAACCATTCTGTCGATGCAGATTTCGTTTGTAGGATTCCAGCCTGTCTCCACGTCGGAACATATGGGCGTAAGTATTTTTTTATTGATTTTTCTATCAATTTATCTTTTTTTTTTTTTTTTCTTGTAGGATGGTTTTAAAGAATTTTTTTTATATTCATACAGTTGAGTTATTGAAACAATCTTTTTTACACATCTTCATTAGTATTATGAATTATGTGGGGCTACATGAATTCTTGATTTTAAGAATTTGATAGAAAAGATTTCAGATTTGACCATTCTTTGACAGGCCTTTGGAGTGTTCGGGCTCTGCCAAATCCATGCCTTCGTTGACTACGTGCGCTCCCGCCTGAGCACGAGCCAGTTTGAGGTGCTCTTCCGGGCAGTGATCTCCACAGTGTCACTGACAGGGGTGTTGGTGCTGGTGGTGCTGACAGCACTGGGCAAAATTGCTCCCTGGACAGGCAGGTTCTACTCGCTGCTTGACCCGTCCTACGCCAAGAACAACATCCCCATCATTGCCTCGGTATCGGAGCACCAGCCTACAGCGTGGTCTTCCTTCTATTTTGACTTGCAGATGCTTGTGTTCATGTTCCCCGTGGGACTGTACTTCTGCTTCACCAAGCTCACCGATGAAAATATTTTTATCATCCTGTACGGCGTTCTCAGTATCTACTTTGCTGTGAGTTTCAGACAAGTCCTGTGCTGGCTTTTGGTGTAAACTGTATGATTTGATATAGTGTATCTATTTCAGGTTTGTACATTGTAATTGCAAATGATTGTATTCCTAATTGCTGCTTTAAATTCACAGGGTGTGATGGTGCGTCTGATGCTGGTGTTGGCCCCAGTCATGTGCATCCTCTCAGGCATTGCTGTCTCGTCCCTTTTGTCGACCTACATGAAACAAATTGACGAAGTGAAAACAGACAAGAAGAAGGCCAAGTTTGAAGGAAATTACTTCATGAGGAGCGAAGTGAGTATGCCCTATTTGTTCTCGGTATATTGCCTTTAAGAATGATTATGTTCTTACAATCATCAGTGCTCTGCCTTTTTCCCTTCCTTTGTGTCTTTCCTTGTTTATGCTTTGTTCTTCCTCCAACCTTCCTTTAAGTAGATTTAGGTTTTCAATCATTTACACTGTTAATCATAGTCGATTAGCTTCTGCTTTGGTACTCCCGTATCTGCCTCATACTTAATTTATTGATAACCATTATTATGACAGTTATAATATGGAGGAAACAAGAAATTACTTGACAGCATGAATAAAGATATTGTACAGATTATGCACAAGGAAGGGATCTGTGTGCAGAAGCTATGGATCGCAAGAAGTTGCATCTTTGTCTTTCTTGCATCAATTCTTGTTTCGCTTCAGGTAACCTTTTAACGCTTAAAGCAAAGACCAATTTGGCTTTTTCAAATTAGACACTAACTTTACAAAATTGTGCATAGATACCCAGTATTGTTGAGAACACATGTTAGATATAGAAATAAGAAAATGTTTTAAGTAATGTAAGGTTTCCACACGGTTACCATAACTGGCATGTCAGTGTTGGTGCCAGTTGAACTGACTGCCAAGTATAGAGGACAATTAACATAAAACTAATATTAACATTCTCTGGCCTAATAAACTGGACCAGAAGCTTTTCAAGGGAAATAAGCCGACAGAAAGGGATCTGTTATGGTAGAGCCTACATGAAAATAATGGAGTTGTTAAGAATAGTAGTTGGATTCAAGTACCATCTCATGAACATATTGCAGTTTCATAGGTGCTTAGTGTACCCTTGTCTTAACCCACTCACGCCGGGTACATTTTGTAGCCAAAAAAAAAAAATTCCGGCGGCTACAAAATCGGTGGGCGGAGCTTTCCCGGAGTCTGTTCGCCGGCCGGCCGCATGCCGCTGCTGCGTCGGAGCGCAGCCCCGATACAGCGTCACACTGGCGGGACGCCCGGCAATGTTAATTTTTTCTGGTGTCTCTTATATGTGACACCCGGCATGATTGGGTTAAAGATAAACTGATTTTTAAAAACTTATTTGAACTGCTATTTCTTCTTAATTTTGACATAAAACCTTTTTTATAATTCATTGATAGTTTATTACTATTTGTTTGTTTGTTTATTTAGTTCCTTGTTTTAAATTATTACTACTGCACTCAGTATTTTTCTTAAGCATTTATAAACTACTTTATCTCGCAGACCTCGCATCTTCATGTTAGCCTTTTAACTTGTGATTTTCTATTTTTTTACAGATTGCCACCTTGTTTGTGTGTATGATGTCAGTGTTTTTGGTGATGTACACTCTGCACTGCACTTGGGTTACCTCTGAGGCCTACAGCTCCCCCTCGATTGTCCTTTCTGCTCGAGGCCACGACGGCTCCAGGATCATTTTCGATGACTTCAGGGAGGCTTACTATTGGCTACGTCACAACACTCCTGAGGTAGGTTTTGGTTCGAGGGTGACACTAGATGGAACTTGTTAAAGGTGAATTTATTTTATTGTTATTATGGGAAGTCGAGCAGAATTGAGTACATTTCATGAGATTTTGTCATGGGCAACTTTTCAAATAAAACAGCGGCAGATATGCCAGATGTGTTGAGAATTGTTGAATTAACCACTTGCCCTTTTCCCCCTAGGATGCCAAGGTGATGTCGTGGTGGGATTATGGGTATCAGATAACGGCAATGGCTAATCGGACAATATTAGTGGACAACAACACTTGGAACAACACGCATATATCACGGGTCGGTCAAGCGATGGCAAGTACAGAAGATAAAGCATACCAGATCATGAGAGAGCTTGACGTGGATTATGTGTTAGTCATATTTGGAGGCCTGACGGGCTATTCTTCAGATGGTAAGGATATTTCATTGCATTCTGTTTTTTGGGGGGGCTGGGATGTCTTCTTAACTGTTGAATATGTTAAGGTGTTTTTTTCTGGACTATTAACATAATGTTGATTTATTAGGTGGGACCTGTTTGCTGTCAGACTAGGTACACACACACACACCTGTTATATTACTGATATTGTTAACAGCTGTTCTTTCAACAGCTGTTACAGTTATTGGTTGCAGTCTAAAATTAGATGGTTTATATTATAGACTCTTGAGTTCTAACAATAACCATTTTAGTATCATGAACAATACATTGTATTATTAACCATCATAAAAATCATACCTGAGGACATAAGTTGTCATTGTGTAATTCTATATCTGTAAGAGTAGAATGAGTTTGAAATTGTCATGGTATAATTCTATATCAAAGAGTAGAATGAGTTTGAAATGTATACGCAAAATGTCAGTTTAAGCATGGCATACCCCTCTCGCTAGAAATGAAATGCTCAAGGTTAGCTTATTCTTGCAATTACAGCTTTTCTAAAGTTACCACTTGCACAATCAATAGTTCAGCTGAAAAGAACTGGAAAAAATGTGTTTACTTATAATTCTTAAATTGAATTGTAAAGAAGTGACAGTGTTTTGATTGTGGCTAAGTTGTAGTTACAAGAGTATAGTGACTTTATAACAAGATTTATGTGGGTTTCCTGATTATGGCAAAACTTTTGATTACCCAATTTAGCAGATATTCTGAAAATAATGGTTGAAAAAAGTCTTGGAGCTTTGTTGGAATTTTAAATGATCTCATTCAACAGTGTAATGTATAATAACTTGCACCTACATAGCTTCAGTACTTATTGGACACTCTCTCTCTTTCTCTCTCTCTCTTTCTCTCTCTCTCTCTCTCTCTCTTTCTCTCTCTCTCTTTCTCTCTCTCTCTTTCTCTCTCTCTCTTTCTCTCTCTCTCTCTCTTCTCTCTCTCTCTCTCTTCTCTTTCTCTTTTCTCTTTCTCTTTCTCTCTTTCTCTTTCTCTCTCTCTCTCTCTCTCTTTCTCTTTCTCTCCTCTCTCTCTCTCTTCTCTCTCTCTGTCTCTCCGTCTCTCTGTCTCTCTTCTCTGTCTCTCTTCTCTCTCGCTCTGTCTCTCTGTCTCTCTGTCTCTCTGTCCTCTGTCTCTTGTCTCTGTCTCTGTCTCTGTCTCTGTCTCTGTCTCTGGTCTCTGGTCTCTCTCTCTGATCTCTGTCTGTCCTCTCTCTCTCCCTCTCCTCTCTCTCTCTCTCCTCTCTCTCCTCCTCTCTCTCTCCTCTCTCTTCCTCACTCTCTTCTCTCTCTCTTCTTCACCTACAATCTTCTACTCTCTCTTCTGGCATCATCTCTTACAATGTCCTGCTGGTGCGTCTCTCTCTTGTCCTCTCTCTCTGCTCTCTCTGTTCTGTCTCTCTCCTTCTCTTCCTGGTCTCTTCCTGTTCGGTCTCCACTCGGGGTCTCCCGCCGTCTCTCTCGATTGTGGGGCTTGCGTCTTCTCTCGCTCTGTACTGCTCTGCTCCTCTCTCTCTCTCCTCTGGTCTCTCTCTACCTCCTCTCTGTCTCTCTCTCTCTCTCCTGTCTGCGTCTCCTCTCTCTCTTTCGTGCCTCTCTCCCTCGCTCCTCTCTGTGTTGTCCTCTCTCGTACTCTCTCTGTCCTTCTCTCCTCTCTCTCGTGGTTCTCTTCTTCTCTCTCCTTCGTCTCTCTTCTCTCTCACTCTCTGTCTCTCTCTCTCTCTCCTGTCGGCTCTCCTCTCTCGTCTCTCTGCTCTCTCTCTTCTCCTGTCCTCTCTCTCTCTTCTCTGTCTGCTCTCTCCTGTCTCTGTCTCTCTCTCTCTAGTCTCTGTCTCTCTCTCTCTAGTCGCTGTTGTCTCTCTCCTCCTCTGTCTTCTGTGTTCTGTCCTCCTCCTTCCTCGTTTCTCCTCTGTCTCCTGTCTCTCTGTCTCTCTGTCTCTCTGTCTCTCTGTCTCTCTGTCTCTCTTGTCTCTCCTGTCATCATCTCTCTGTTCTCTCTGGTTCATTCTCTCTCTGTGTCCGCTCTCTGTCGTGTTCTCTCTCTCTCTGTCCTCTCTCTCCTGCTCTCTCTCTCAGTTCTCTCTGTCTCTCTCTCCATGTCCTCTGTCTCTCTCTCTGTCCTCCTGTGTGCACTCTCTCCCCTGGTCTCGTCCTCACTCGTGTCTCTCGTGTTCTCTCTCTCTTCTCCTCTGTCATCTCTCTCTGTCTCTTCTTCATTTCTCTCGCCCTATGTCTCTTCTGTTCCTCTCCTACTCGGTCTCTCTGTCTCTCTCTGAACCACGCTCCCGCTGATATAACTCTCTCTGTCTCTCTCTCGCTTTCTCTCTGTCTCTCCTCTGCATGTCTCTCCTGTCCTCTCTCTCTACGTTTCTCATCCTGCTTCTCTCTCTCGTCTTCCTCTTGTGTCCCTCTCTCTGTCTCTGCTGTCTCTCTCTGTCTCGTATCTCGCTGTCTCCTTCTCTGTCTCTCTACGATGTTTCTGCTCTCTGCTCTACTCTCCATGTCTTCTCTCTCCTGTCATCTCTCTCTGTCCTCTCCCTCCGTCACACTGAGTCTCATCTCTTGCTTATGTCTCTCTCTGTCTCTCTCTCTGTCTACTCTCTCCTGTCTCTCTCTGCTCTCTCTGCCTTCTCCTCCTCGGTGCTGTCCTCTCTCTGTCTCCCTCTGGTCTCCTCTCTGTTCTTCTCTCCACCTCTACCCTGCCCCTTCATACTCCTCTCTCTCTGTCTCTCTCTTGTTTCTCTCTTCTCTCGTGTCTCCATCTTGTTTCCTCTGCTCTACTGTCTTAGTCTCTCCTCTTGTTCTCTCTCTCTGTCTGTTCTCTCTCTTGTCTCTACTCCTCTGTCTGTTCTACTCTCTGTCTCTCTCACTCCCTGTCCCTCTCTCGTCTGTTCTCTCTCATATCTCTCTCCCACACACTTCGACTGTCTCTCGTCTCTCATCTCTCTGTCTCTCGTCTCTCTCTCTCTCTCCTCCTCTCTGTCCTGCTCCTCCTCTGTTCCTCTCTCTCCATCTCTCTCTGTCTCTCTCTCCTCTCTCTGAGTCTCTCTCTCCTTGCTGTCTTCTCTCTCGTCTCTCCTGTCTCCTCTCTGCCTCTCTCCTGTCTCGTTCTCTCTCTCGTCTGTCTCCTCTCGTCTGCTCTCCTACGCTGTCTCTCTCGCTCTCTTCTGTCCTCTCTCTCTCTCTGTCTTCTCTCTCTCCTCTGTCTCTACTCTCTCTCTCTGCTCTCTCTCTCTCTCTCTGTCTCTCTCTCTCTCTCCTGTCTCTCTCTCTCTCTCTGTCGTCTTCTCTCTCTCTCCCTCGTCTCTCTCTCCTCCTCTCTCTGTTCCTCCTCTCTCTCTCTCTCTGCTCTCTCTCTCTCTCTGTTCTCTCTCTCTGTCTCTCTGTCTCTCATCGCCTTTTTTCCTTTTTTTCCTTTTTCCCTTTTTCTCGCGCAGTCTCTCTTCTGTCTCTCTCCTCTTTTTGGGTCTTCTCTCCTCTGATCTCTCTCTCTCTCTCTTGTCTCTCTCTCCCTCTCTCTCTCTCTCTTCTTCTCGCTCTCTCTCTCGGTCTCTCTGTCTCTCTCTCCTCTCTGTCTCTTCTCTCTCTCTGTCTCTCTCCATCTCCTCTCTGTCTCTCTCTCTCTCTCTGTCTCTCCAGTCTCATCTCTCTCTACTGTCTCTCTACTACTCTCTCTCTGTCTCGTCATCTCTCTCTCTCTGTGTCCTCTCCTCTCTGCTCTCTGTCTCTTCTCTCATTTCTTCTCTGTCTTCTCTCTCTCTGCTCTCTGGTCTCTCTCTCTCTCTCTCTGTCTCTCTCTCTCGTCTCTCTGTCTCTCTCTGCTCTCTCTACTGTCCTCTCTCTCTCCTCCTTTCTCTGTCTCTCTCTCTCTCTACTCTGTTCTCTCTCTCTCTTCTCTGATCTCACTCTCTCCTCTCTCTCTCTCTCTCTCTCTCTCTCTCTATGTCTCTCCTCTCACTCATCTCCTCATGCTCTCTCTTCTCTCCTTCTCACTACATGTCTCATCCTCTCCTCTCTCTCCTCCTCTCTCTTCTGTCTCTCCTCTCCTCTGCTCTCTTGTCTCTATCTCTCATCTCCTCTCTGTCTCTCCTCGATCTCTCTCCTCTGTCTCTCCTTCTCCATTCTCTCCTCTGGCTCCTCTCTCTCTCGTCTCTCGTGATCTCTCCTCTCCTCTATCTCTGTCTAGTGTCTCTCTCTCTCTCCTCCTGCTTCTCTCCTACCTCTCTCTCTCTACTCTCTCTCTCTCGTCTCCTCTCTCTCTCTCTCTCTCTCATCTCTCTCTGTCTCTCTCTCTCTCTCTCTCTGTCTCTCTCTCTTCTCTCTCTCTGTCTCTCTCTCTCTCTCTCTCTCTCTCTCTCTCTCTCTCATGTCTCTCTCTCTCTCTCTCTCTCTCTCTGTCTCTCTCTCTCTCTCTCTGCTCTCTCTCTCTCTCTCTCTTCTCTCTCTCTCTCTCTCTCTCTCTGTCTTCTCTCTCTTCTCTGTCTCTCTCTCTCTCTCTCTCTCTCTCTCTCTCTCTCTCTCTCTCTCTCTCTCTCTCTCTCTCTCTCTCTTACTTAGCCTCTTACCTACTTTCTTTCTTCTAAATTTTTCCTTTACTTTGTAAGAACACACTAAATGATATATTATTTGCTTCCAGACATCAACAAGTTCTTATGGATGGTGCGAATCGGCGGGAGCACAGAGAAGGGAGCCCACATTAAAGAGCATGACTATTACACACCTGCTGGGGAGTTCCGCGTGGACAAGGAAGGATCCCCGACGCTACTCAACTGCCTTATGTACAAAATGTGTTACTACAGATTTGGCCAAGTGTACACCGAGGGAGGCAAGTATTATTATTATTGTTATTGTTGTTATTTTTATTCTTATGTGGGTGTTTGTTTACAGTTCTTGTTTCATGGGAAAAAAAGTATTGTATTGGAAAAAGGATGAAAATGATTCCATTGAGAACTAGGAGAAACTCTCTAAGGTAATTTAGTTTGTTACAAACATTACTAAGCATAATTTTTTTCTTCATAACAGGCAAGCCTCCAGGATATGACAGAGTCCGGAACGTTGAGATCGGAAACAAGGACTTCGAGCTCGACGTCTTAGAAGAGGCTTATACTACGGAACACTGGATTGTCCGTATATACAAAGTTAAAGACTTGCCCAATAGAGGTGCATAGGGGCAAATAATTGTTATAATATTTTCTATTGTGGAACAGCAATTCACGATTGTTCTTTTTCTGTGAATTTTTATCCAGTGATGATGATGGAGTTCTGATTTATAAATTGTGAAAGAGTAAGGTTATTTCCCTGTCTTGCATTACTAGATGTGTGAGCTCTTCTGTTAGAATTGTTTGGCTAGGTGGTTTTGATTTACTGGGATCATGATTCAAAAGTTACATGCCCTGTTTTCTTTTTCTCAGTTGCTTTACTCTGTAAGAACAATGTGGTATATGATAAAACATGTCCAATAGGATGGTTTTCAATGACGTGTTGACTGTCCTGTTTTCTATGCGAGTGAATACATTGTGAAAGAGTGTACAAAGTAGCCTTTGCTCATGTTTTCATTTTTGTTATGTATGGAAGTGTCTGTTGTTAAAAGTCAGTGACTAAAAGTGTGGTTCTCATGATCAGTACGCAAGTAACCTCAGTATTTGAACATGTACTCTCACTTTTGTAAAGATGACTAGTCTTATAGTCAATTTTCAATACAGACAGTGGCTAGCTGCTGGAAAAAGAAATGCTTAGCCGTGAGGAAAATTAAATTAAATATCTGCACATGTAACCATTCCACGAGTGCTCTTATTGGTGCATTGAAATTGATGGAAAAAAAAGTGTTTTTTTCTAACCTGCCATTGTAGATATTTTTTTTCATTCCTATAATAGATAGGAAAGTCCATATGAGGTAATTCCTTGCCTCTACATGGTTTTTTTATTCCTTAGGCTTTATTGGCTAAAATTGAAATAATGAAAGGCATGGTCAGTTGTAAGGCCCTGTGTATGCTGAAATATATAGTGATAACAAGGGGACAAGCGTCCTTATAGCATAGATTTGTTCTTTGAAGCTTTAAGTACTAAAGAAAAGTTAACAAATGATATGTAGCAAGCCAGTCGTTTTGGCTAGAGGATATGGAGACTGGGGCCCAGTGCAGGGGATCACCTCAACCTTGAACTCGCCTTTGCCTCATGATTTTGCATGGTCTTTACTTCACCCGAGTTCCTTTTCCTTCTCTTCATCTTCCCCCTCTGTCCACATGCTAATGTGTGATAACCGTGCTGAAAGGATGAAAGGCTGGCTTTGTGCCATTCCTGGATACTTCGCGCTAGTTTGTGAAACGAAAGAAAAATGGGAAGTAAAGAAAAATGAAAACAATGGTGCAAATTCCATGCGGAGCTAAAAAAAAAAATTGTCTGCCATTTTTAGCACTTTAAAAATGGTGCACATGATGACCTTTCCTTATCTGGGGACTTCACCCTCAAGCCTCACCTTATCGCTGTATTTTGGATATGCTGCTAATAACCTTAGATGTTAATGTGGCAGACTATTTTCAAAACCCTTCTGTCAATGTCAGAATTGGTGTCTTAGCCACCCTGCTGAACACTGCTGTTCCACAGCCTGATGCTCACTCACACCCAACACAACCCATTCTCTTCAGCTCCAACAACACCTACGTTAATCCTCCCTCCATCCCCTCAATCCTTTCCACTCCCTCGTGGATACATACGTAAATCCCATATGTCACATCTATGCTCTTCCCCAGATCCTCCTCCACCTGATACTACTCCTGATACTACACCCCCCTCTAATTCCTTATTTCACCCCCTAGCTCCCCCTTCAAATTCTGCAACACGTACTGTATACATTATCACTCGTAAATCAACTAAGATATAGCTCTCCTACATTGGAATATTCGCGGTTTCCATTCGCTGAGACCTGACCTTCGTCATATCCTTTCTTCTTATAATCCATCCATTATCTACTTTCTGCTTTGACAGCCTGTTCTTTCCTCAGACGCATATATATCCTTCACCTGATATAATCCCCTTACCTAAACCACCATAACCCATTCACTCAACTCCTTTCCCCCTTCTACTATCTACTTCCTAAGGTGTAAGATCCGTGCTGAGAGGATGAAAGGCTGACATTGTGCCAGTTCTGAACGGCCTGCGGGAACTATGGTACGGTTCTCCCGATTAATTGTTTTAGCCCTTACCTTCAGTAGCGAAAGGAGGTGAGCCGTTTATGCCTTTTTATATAATCAAGGTTCCCCATGACCAATAATGAAGATGTAATCCCTTTATTAGGGGCAATGAGGCTTGCCCCTTTATCAAATAGCCCCAATCCAGGCTCTCCTTTGACCACGACTCCGAACACAAACTACTACCCACTCCTCAATGCTTACCAGTGCATTACCCACCCAAGCAGAGACTCAATCTCCAGAAGACATTTTTACCCTCCCAACTTCCTCAAATTCATCAAATCTAACCCCGCAACCTTCATCAAGCACCCCATCCTCCCTTATTGCTACCTTACAGCCTTGTTCTCCATCACTCCGTAATACTCCCTCTTCTACACGTTCCCGACCATCCACCACACCAACCCTACAGATATCTTAAATACTCTGTTCAGCCCAGCTAAGTGGGACCGATTTTTCGCGATCCCTTCAACAGCTCCTTACTCAGGCAACACTCTTCTCTTTCAACAATGCCTCCAAAACAAGTAGGCAGAGTCCCTTTCTATACCAGACGCGATCGCTCCCGTCTTGTAACAGTCAGATCAGAAACAATCTGTAGCACTTATCAAATGTAACTGATCATTCGAGCAACCCCATTCCTGCAGAACCTCATCCAACCCTTAATATTTGTACCGGAACTGTCCCTCTCTCCCCAGCAAATTGCCCAGTTGATACCAAAAATTGGTCAGACTGTGGAGAAGACTCAAAGACCAAGATGTGAAATCAGTACATTGCCAAAACTACTGGCGCTTTGGACATCCGTCCAACACACAGCCGTTCCAACAGACCGATTGCTCCATATGTGCTCCTGGTTCATAACCAATCAAACTGCTCAGCACAAACAAAACGAACCATGTGCTAAACTGCGCGGCCCATAATGTATTTTATTAGAACTGTTGTACAAGTTTTGATCTTGAGCAGCAACTCTCAGGATACAATGGTCTCACTTTACGTGAAGCCAACACGGAAGCACAGTACTCCAGTTTATCAGGTACTCCATACTCTCGTAACAAGTTCGCTCAGCCTCCCCCTCCATTCCAAGATGTCCCCATTTCTACCCTTCTACATTCTCTCCTCCCTCAGACCAATTCTTTTTGCCAACTCTAAACATGATCTATTATATATATCTATATCTTATTATCCTATATCTAATATATATATTATATTATATATAATTTATATATATATATATATATTATATATATATATATATATATATAATATATATATATAATATATGTACATGCACACACACATATTCATATTTGCTAATATATACATTTGTAGCATCACTGAGATACGCTTTAATGAAGACAGTTGTCCTCCCAAATGCAAATACAAATTACCGGTGTTTAACAAAAGCCAAATCGAGATAACAGGGATTCAATTCGATCTAAAACAGTAAAGGGTGATAAAAAGTTTACATGAATTTTTTTTTTTTTAATTGAATTGATAACCATAATTCAAACATGGCGTCATTTAAGGAGGAAAAAGTAGGATAACAATAATTATATACACGTTTTTCCCATGTACTGTACAATGCAGTTCAAGAAATATATACATTTTTTATTCTATTTTCCAAGTACATGAAAGTACCTCGTCTTAATCTTATTTGTTCAGATGGTCTAATAGGGGATTCTAGACAAACAATCTACTCAAGATTTAGGATAAAAAGGGAATGATAAAAGCAGCCAATTACAATTATCTCCCAATAGAGGCAATATAAACGGTAGAAATGAAGATAATTCGATTATGAAATACAGGAGAGAGAGAGAGGAGAAGAGAGAGAGAGAGAGAAGAGAGAGAGAAGAGAGAGAAGAGAGAGAGAGAGAGAGAGAGAGAGAGAGAGAGAGAGAGCGAGAGAGAGAGAGAAGAAAGAGAGAGAGAGAGAGAGAGAGAGAGAGAGAGAGAGAGAGAGAGAGAGAGAGAGAGAAGAGAGAGAGAGAGAGAGGAGAGAGAGAGAGAGAGAGAGAGAGAGAGAGAGAGAGAGAGAGAGAGAGAGAGAGAGAGAGAGAGAGAGAGAGAGAGAGAGAGAGAGAGAGAGAGAGAGAGAGAGAGAGAGAGAGAGAGAGAAAAGGGAGAGAGAGGAGAGGGAGAGAGAGGGAGAAGAGAGAGAGAGAGAGAGAGAGAGAGAGAGAGAGAGTGAGAGAGAGAGACGATGTGACGAGATACAGAGTTGAGAGAGTCACTCCGTCACTGTGGTAAACCCTTCCTTAGTCTGTCCCTGCTCGGCTCTTTCTCAATCTGTGTCTGCT